GCTTGTGTTCCAGTGGGTGGTGGGAGTCAAAAGAAGTCTGAAGAAGTCTCTTGGAGAAGAGATGAAATGTTTCATTAGAGAAGAACCCGTCCAGAAGACCTACACAATTTTTTTCTTTTTGATTTATTGAAAGGCAGAAACACGTGAATAAAAAGAAGATGCGCTGCGTGAATGGTCGTTGAATGATTTAATAAAAGGTTTTGCAATTTCAAGACAAGCCGCAGTGTAACCAGAAAAAAAATCAGAGCTCTGGGCACACCGCAAACTCACTAGCAGCAAACGGGAAATGGGTATTTAGCATATTGGGCGGGGCCCATGAACCGCCAATGACAGAATGAAAAGTGTTACAATGGCTTCAATGTAGAACAAGGACATGAGACATRACAGGCGCCTTTCCATCATAAGGACAGATTATGACAAATCGTAGCAGTTATCAAAAAATACAAAGTGAAATGTCAAGGCAGTATGAACTTAATAATCAGGTTTTAAGAGAGGTATAATTATTTTCTAGTACATTCATGATTTTATTGCAAAGCATAGCTTCATAATGATCTATATTTATATAGTTTCTTTACTAAAAGTAGCTTAACATTGATGTAAATGTATGAGAGGATGACTGGGAGATATATTACCAAGCTGAAACCTCATGCAAGGGCTTCTGTACTCTGGTTCATCCAAACACATACTTTCCAGGTCCAATGTAGGATCATTCGAGTAAGGTTCAACTTAGTTGTAGAGTTGCCATTTTCTATAATCAATGTTTTATAATGTTGCTTCTATTTTTTATAACAAAATGTAAACAGCATGAAGCATTGTTGTGAAGTCGTGATGAAGTGGGAGTGTCAGAAATGATAGAAGGTTCTTAAAGACAGAGAGGCTAACAGTTTAGATGTGTGGTGTGAKGTCAAATATATTTTGGATATATACAGCTTTTTTATAACAACTGAAGGCAACAGTTACTTGACTGTGGTATAGAATTAAACTATGTGCCTAGAAAATACATAATACCCCCTTCTTTAATAAATAAGATAGTTTTTTTTGATAAAAATCTGAATTAATTCCAGTTAACATGAACCAGATGAATTATAACCAGAATATAGTATTCTGTTATAATTTTGCCATATATGGTCCAGCTGAGTAACTCCTGACTACAGCTTTTCCCGTCTTTCTATATTGAAAACTGAGCTGCCCTCCTCAGAACTGATTAGTGTAAATGATCCTTAGTTGCGTTGGCAGGTAACACAACACAGATTATTATTCTGTGCTACAGGGGTTTGTGTGCACTCTTCCTGTGTCATGAATCATTAAATGGGTGACTGTAATCCATACAGACAGCTAGATTCTCAGGGTGACAGCCACCTGATGCTGAACAGAGACCAACTCAACTCCTGCGCTTCAGAAACAGAACTTAGATTTCTAAAACAAATATTCAATGACAGAATCTAAATTTTACATCAGTGTTTCAATATATTATAATGAACATGTTGTTTAAAGATTTATGGCTTTCTATATAAAAAAATCACAAGATCCGTAAACCAGTAGCACATCTGTTGTCCTTCCCCATCTATATCTCATTTCTTTGAAACAAATGTTGCTCTGAACAAGCATAAATCATCAAATCTAAAACACAATAGTGTCACAGAATTTTATTATATTGTTTTAACAGTATAAATAAAAACATCTCCTGCTGACTATGAATCGACCAATTTTTGGCATAGTGTTGCAGTAACCTATAGCAACCGCTTCTGTGTCAACAGAAATCTTGGACAGCTCCTGCAGTCCAGGGCTGTGCAACACCATTGGCTGCCTGAATCAATGACTTGCAAACTTGTTCATCTATTATGCATGTTAGTTCTCCTTTAGTGTGTTCTTGAACTCATTCTCAGGTATTTGCAGCTGGTCGCTGGAACTGAAGGACGGGCTCTCATCCTTGGTGAGTCAACTTATTCGTTGTAACCATTTTAATTCCTTTTCATGTCGACTCAAATAAGCTGGATTTTATGTATTCATGATTGTAATTGAATACATAATTGAGTGGACTACAAAGTGTAAAAAAGAAGGTACTAAGACTGAGGTAAAGGTTATTTTCCTGGTTGTAGAGAGCCCCAGTTGAGTTGACAATGGAGCTGATTGGATCAACTCTGACAGCCCCTTATGCTCGACCAAAGACCAGCCACTTCCTCCCCGCCATCTCCACCATGGCGGCCAGCTATCGCAACCCTCACTCAGCCTTGGTGACGAGCCCTGGTGCCAATTTGTGGAGAACCAGCAGCTACTACAAGAGCGGCAGCAGCCTCCCGTTAACGTCTCCCGTACAGCGGGAGGACTTTGATCTGATTCGAGCTAAGACCGCGATGTACCCCACCAACAGGAGCGCTCTGACAGCCCGGTACACCCCCGATGACTGGTACAAGTCCAACAACAACAACTACCGGGAGTCCGAGTCCTCCAGGAAAAGTGCGGAGCGACTGAGGAAGGACACCATCAGGCTGATGCAGGACAGAGAGCAGCTCACCAGAAGAACGCAGGAAAACACCAGCAAGAACATTGCAGAGAGGGTCACTGACATTGTCTTCTGGAGGTCTGAGTTGACTCATGAGATCGACAACATGGTGACAGAGATAGCAGCACTCAATGAGGTGAAAAGGAGGCTGGAAAGAGCCTTGGCTGAGACTGAYGGGCCCTTACAGGTAAAACTGAGAAGTGTCATAAGTGTTTCAGTTTGTATTAAGAAAAACACCACTGAGCTATATGTTACTAAAATATGAACAAATGAGTCAGATCACCACTGATTACAGTAATAATTGAGGCATATCACAGCTCAAGGAAGTCTTTTTTCCCCAGTTGTTCCCTATTTTTACTTAGTCAGACCTTTATTTAGGTTACCATAGCAGCTTGTTAGAGCGCCTGTCGTCATCTGTGTCACTCGAGGTGCATCAACCTGATTTAACGGAAGATCCGATGACACAAACACTTTGCTGGTCTAATATCAAGTGGCGAAAGGTTTTCTTAGAGACTTCTGCATGAAACTGAAACTTGAGCATGCCCCTAATGCATTACGACATATATTCATTCAGGGACAATAAGTATGCATTACCTCATGCTTTAAAAAAAATAGAAGCATATCTCTGTGCGTTTCAAGAAAACAGAATGTTGAAAATGTTAGATACTGATGTCTGCTTCTTTTTTGTAATTATTTATCAATAGGTGTCTCAAGAGTGTTTGTACCACAGAGAGAAGAGGATGTCCATTGATTTGGTGCATGACGGTGTAGAAAAAGACCTAATAAGGGTAAAATGATAGCAGTATAAACTCACAAACCACTTATTAGGCACACCTGTTCAATTTCTTCAGTTGGAACTTGCTGAAATTCAAATCAAGCATCAGAATAGCGGAGTTAGGTGACTCTCACGACGATGGTTGCTGGTGCCAAATGGGTATTTCAGAAACTGCTGTTCTACTGGAATTTTCAAACACAACCATCTCCAGGGTTTACAGAGAACTTTCAAGAAATATCTAGCAAGTGGGCAAAAATGCCTTGGTGTCAGAGAAGTGCAGACTGATTCAAACTAACAAAGTCAACAGTAGCTCAAAAACCAATCCTTGCAACCAGAATATACCATCTCTACATGTGTCCTACCTTGAAGCAGACGGGCTACAGAAGATGACGACCACATTGGGGCAGTTCAGGCTGGGTTAGGGGAGTCATCCTCCAATGCGAGTGTTGGTGGTTCGATTCCACCACTATTCAGTCACATGTTGAAGTGTCCTTGGGCAAGGCACTGACATACATGTCAACTTCTTTAGATGTTTACCTGTATAAAGAGCCTCAAAAATCCGTGAATTTAGCAAAAAATCTGTATAACTCGCGCCCGGGGGAGGAGGCTGTAGGCTGCGGACATGAAAGCGCCTGCTGCGAAGCAGGAGGAAAGGAGAGCGGAAAAAGTTCAATACTTATTTCTAGAACAGGTTGGAAGATTGCTATTTGATGTTATTTGTTGTTGTTTTTTAAATCATCCTACAGACTGACATGTTAGATAAATTTGAAAATGAGGCTTTGAAAAAKATCCATAAGACTTGGAAAAAATCCATGAGATTGCTCTACACGTCTGTATACCTGCAAAATGATGTAAAATCCTTATAACTTACGGACAATCCGTACAAGTTGACATGTATGCACTGAACCCCATTGCCTCTGATGTGTCCCATCAGTTACTACATTTCATTCTGTGTGAATGGTTAAATGAGGGCACAGTAAAGCACTTTGAGTATCCTGGTTGGATAGAAAGGTGCTATATAGAGTGAGTACCATGTGTGCCTCTCCTGTCAGCTAAGAACGGGAAACTGAAGCTAAAATTTGCACAGGCTCACCAAAAATTGACAAACAAACCTTGGAAGATCATCACGTAGTCCAATAAGACTCAATCAAATGAACAGACTCCAGCAAAATCCACTGTCATCAGATTTCAATACAACTGAGCACTTCTGAGMTGTAAGGGAACAAGATTCACATCTTCGAACTGTGCAATGCTATTTTGTCAATTTGAACCAAAATCTTTGAGGACTCTTTCCAACAGATATTGAATTAATGTCCCAAAGGCAGTTCTGTATGCAAATACTACCAAGGTGTACCTAATAAAGTGGTCAGTCTGCATGTCTTACTTTAAAACCAACATGACTGCACATACAAGTCATTGTTTGTTTTCTACTTTTGCTAAAAAAGGAAGTAGAAGTTATAAAGTCATGTCAGGAGAGGATGAGGCGCCATTTGGACCGAGCCATCGCACAGCTGGCGTAAGTCTTAAAACTAAATAAATACCAATCTATTTGTAGGCGTAAGCTTGTATTAGAAGGCATTGTTCAAAACTGAGGTTTGGCATGTAATTGCGTTTTTTTTGAGGTGTTCCTCAGGGCAAACCGAGCAGCTCAGCATGAGCTGGAAAAAGACGTGAGTGATAAAGTGACAGCWCAGAGGATTGACGACAGATGTCACTATTTGAGAAACACATCAGATGGGATTGGTTATTACAGAGGCATTGACAGGATGGACCATTCGTGAGTATACAATTAATCATAAACATTTTTATCTCATTGAATTAAATAAATGTGAAATACATTTCTAAAAGCCAGCTGTTGTGGAGCCTCCAGGTAAACAGACTTTAAATATTTTAACAACCTTTAACTTTTACATTTTAGTCATGGCTATTGCATTCAAGATTTTAAAAAAAGTTATGCCACCTTCCAATGGCAAACTTTTTTAAATCACTAAGGCTTTACAGATAGTTACACTGTTGCCCTTCTATGTACAAGTAACTATATCTCATGCAAAATCTACTTTTTTAGCCATTAAATGCATTTTGTTGTGTACTTGGAGTCTCTAGCAGTGCAGAAATTTTTAATTTAGTCTCTTCCAGAACTGCATAGATATATTATATTCTGTTTGGGTCATATTTTTTAACCTGCTCAGTTTTCTCTATGATGTTTACTGAACTATTACATCAGACTATTTACAACAGAACTGCCAAATAATGTCTGAACTTACCAACAACAATTTGGTGGTCTTCATTCTCTGGCTCTGGGTCAGACTCTGGCTCCAACATGTAAGGCTGGATGGACAAGTCTTTCATTGTTAACATCTTCAAATTAATTTGTAAACAAAATAGTTTATGTGCCGCTATATAGTCGTAAATCCCCCTATCAGGCTAGAATGGACCGGTCCGGAAGGATTTACAGGCACATGTCTACTTACAATAAAATTAGCATTCTATTCACTGCTTCAACTTTGCCAAAACTCAGCAAGATCCCAGGTCCCAACAGCAAACAGCAGAACTGTTATGGAACCTCACATCTCTGCTGCATCTGATAGTTGCTTTAAAAAGTATTAAGGGAGAAAATAGCTTCACTTCAGTAATAATAATTTACCAAATCCTCCTCACATACAGCAAGTTCAGAAACACAGTCAGAACCCAAATGTTCTATAACACTGATTCTTTTCTTTCCTTTTTGCCAGAGTTTCTCTGCCGGACTCATGGTCCAAATTCACAGATGACAACATCCTGCGCTCCCAGAGCGAGCGCGCTGCCTCTCACAAGCTCAGAGACGAGATTGAAATCCTGCTGAGCAGCACATCCAACGAGATGTGGAACCAGTTCAACAACGTCAACGTGGCCTTCACCAGCCGCATCTCTGAAACCTCCGATGCCAAGAGCAGCCTGCAGGCTCACCTGGCTAAGGTCGCCGCCTTTTCTTCACGGTTAATTGAAGGAGACTCATTTTGTTGTGATGGTTCAACAAAAAACATTATTGAATTGAGATCAATGTCCTGATCATGTCTCAGTAAAAACTGAATATCTCACAGGTGACATCAGTCTGAGACATCCACTCAGAGATTTTTACCTGTGAAAGGAGCTGTAACATGAAGCACAGTGCTTTTAAGAATGCTTATTTTCTATTAGCTGTAAAAAGTGAGTCACTGAAATTAAATTACAACAAAAAAAGCTTTGGACGGAGAAACCCTCTGAGCTACATATCAAGATGATTCGAAGTTTGTTACTCTGTATTATTGATACTTTTTAACTCCTCCTCTGAAAAATCCAGTCCTTTCTGTTCAGCAATCTCTCTGCCACATTCAGAGAAACTCTGCTACTATGTGTTTTAGTAAATGTTGAAGTATAGTAATTTTTGTATTCTTCCAACCAGACTCTGCAGGAGATCTTCCAGACTGAGATGCTAATTGAGTCTTTGAAGAAAGCGTTAAGAGACAAGGAGAGTCCTCTGAAAGTGGCCCAAACCAGGCTGGAGGAGAGGACCCGAAGACCTAACGTGGAGCTGTGCAGAGACAACCCCCACCACAGGTAAACCGTCGGCCCAGTCTCCAATCAAACTGTCCAACTTTGACCTAAAGACATTTAAAGGGGTCAGTTATGTTCCTTAAATAATCAAGAGGTTGAGGCAGATAGACGGCCATCGTGAGCCTGGCTCTGATTCCTGTTAAAAGGAAGTTGTACCCTTCCACTGTCTGCCAGTCTATTTTCTTAGGGCAGGAAAATGCAATCTGTTGGCTTTCTTTTAGATAACTTTTACTAATGAATGTTTTTAACTCATTTTCACTGAGGGCCACATGAGCATTATGGTGGCCCCTCAAAGGCCCAATTATTAACTTTGGCTAAACAGGAAATGTCACGTTCCTTGACTCGTTGCTAACAGAAAATATCTGAGCTCTACCTGGTTTTTCCTGCATAGAAAGTGTTTTAACGCATCCTCTTATAAACACTGAATGTGAAATAAATAATACAGATACCAAATTAAGTAAAATTAGAGCCTAACGAAAATCGTGGCAGCAGGCCTTGTGTTCGACACCAGTTTTAACCTAATATAATGCAAATATAGAAAACTGGTCATGGGTTGTAAACTTGAAGCTTTATTGGTTAAAAAGAAAATATCGCCATCATATCCTCCATTCAAAAAGTGGTAACYGATCAAATTGCTATAAAATCCATTGCAGCCTTTAGTTTGAAATGTTGCAAAACAGAAATCGAAGCCATCAGTAACTGCCTCCCTTTGTGCTCGTCTCTTCAGACTTGTGAGCGAGGTGAGAGAAATCGAGGACACCATCCAGAAACTGCAGGAYAGACTGATGGAGGCAGAGAACACGCTGCAGACTCTGGTCAGGACTAAAGTCACCCTGGAGCARGACCTGTCCGTCAAGGCCAACTCTCTGTTCCTGGACCAGGACAGGTGCATGAGCATCCGCAAGACCTTTCCCAGCATGCCCCGCCTGGTGGGATACAGCTAAAATAAGACTCGGAGGAGGGATATAAATCAGCCTGAAAGATATCAAACTTTGGTTTGTAGTGAATTCWTTTTTGACCCGTATTTGGATGGTTTGAATGTGGAGAAGGTTAAACCTATATATAAATAAAAACCACACTGTGTCTGTTTCTTTGACTTTTCTAAAAACTAAAAATGCGTTGTTCAAAAATACCTTATTATTCTCAGTGATCGTTCTCACAAGCCTTAGACTGATGTTTGAGAAGGMCTGGGATCTGATTGTCAAAGACTAAGTATGGTAACAAAAACTAAAAAATAAATAAATAAAAACAAAACATCTTTAATGAGTTATTGTCCATCGCCTCACTACAATATGAGCTGAAGAACTTTTAAAAACTCACATCCAAGTTAAAAGACTTACCGTATTTATTCAAGTATAACACGTAAAATTAAATCCATAAAATCATCCATAAAGTTGGGGGGTAGTACTATACTCGGATAAATATTTTTACTTATGTATTTTAACTGAAATATCGGCTTCATTCACAAAATTGAGTCCGGAAATGAGACCGCATTGTAAAAAGCAGTTGAAGCAAGCTTACCCCTGACACTCCTCCGTGCTTCAGAGCGAGATAACAGATCCAGGCAGGTGACATGATGTGAAAAAAGGGGGATAAAAGTAGTCCTGCGCCTTAGTAATGATAGCGAACTAATGACATTAGCGTGTGACTGGGCCGCTCCTCGAACAACAACAAACACATGTTTGTCTGTAATGGCTGCCGTCTACCGGTGTTCTGAAAAAGTTTGTATCCCTGAAAAAACATTTCCCCACCAGAGGGGGCGCTCCTGAGTAGGAAGTAATCTGCTTTTTCCCCAGAAGATGGCCCAAATCTCATGTGAAGTCTCTGACTTTTGTGTTGGCGCCTCCTGGTGGACTATGTGTAAAATGCCAGAATTCATATGATGCTGCTACAGCTGATATATATTTGTTGTCAAAATACCTTTTAGTACTTATGTTGTTAAAATAAAATGAATCATTTCACTGAAACGTATAAAGACTGCAAGAAGCTGAAAAATCTTGAAGTCTGTAAGAAATTGGAGGTAGTTTGAGGATTAAATTTTTTATGCTTTTTAAGCTCAAAAAAGGGGGTTCGTATTATACGAGATCGTATTATACACGAATAAATACGGTAAACCTCAKACTTCTAATGACTTATTTTCATGTTTTTCGTCTCTTCCTCCTCATGTTCTGACATCTTCCTGCCTCTTCAGACAGAGACTCAGTTAATCAGTTTCCTTTAGTGATTTCTCTTTTAGAGCCTGTTGGAGATTATAAACACACAAACTGTAAACAGTATTATCTCTCTCCCTGYCCCAACCCCTTCACTATCACACTTCCTGCACAACCTTTGGATTCAGTGTGGAAGGCTAACAAGCGCAAAATTACAGATAAAATTGTTTGMRTTTTAAAGGAGTTTTAACGTCATCAAAACAAACACTTTGTTTGTGTCCACTTTAATYTTTCACAAGGTATTTCTGAGAATAACTTGCTTTTGGATTTCCATGTAYCATTTTACAACTGTGTTATTATGTCAGTGAGCTGCAGAGCTGCGAGTTGCCAGTACAACAGCGTTTATTACAGAACTAGACTGAAGCCTCTCAGACTTTACTGCAGTCACAGCGGAGACTCCAAAACATATTCAATCCTTTTCTGGGCTTTTTAAACCCACGTGTGAGCTGCCGATGATCACAGTGTTTCTTAAAAAAAATAAAATTAAAAATTCAAGCAACTTCTCTCAAAATCAGTAGCAAAATTCTTGTGGGTTTCTTGAATCCTTCTCAATTTAGTTTTTTTTATAATTACACTGTACTAAAGCTATGTWTTGACACCTGCATGTGTAGACAGAAAACTTTTGAGGCCGCTAATAATATACAGAGAAATGTAATGTACAAAGAGCTGAGGCAGATACAATGTGAACGCATTCTGAGCACGGCCTAAAATACACAACAAACCCAGAAGTAACCTGAATCTAGGTGTTATGGTTCTCCTCTTGGATGAAACATAAATACAGTAGTTTTTTTTTTTACCTCCTCTAATGCCCACACATATTAGGAATGTACTCTGAAATTCTCTCCGCAGTCCAAACATATTGGCAGTTTATTTTTAACCCCAGTTCTTGTTATAGGTTCCCCGTGCCCCATGTTATTTTATGTTTCTGACARACCAACTTACAGAGTAATGAAGAGCTGAAGGGAGACACTCGAGACCAACGCCAGTCATGTCGGGATTTGTATTTATTTTTTTCACTGTTTTTACAGCTAAATCTTATGAGAAAACATAAAATGCACAAAGGGACAGTTTAAAAAAAGCAGATGGACATTTTTTTCTTTTTGAATGATATATAGAAGAATTTGCATTTRATGCAGATATGCAGTGTGAATGCTTTATGTTGGAAGGTTTTTGCTGAATAGTAAAAAAGCTTAAACTAGCCAAAAATAACAAAATAGCTGAGATTAGCACAAATAAATAGAAGGAGCAGGTTTGCTGAATTAAGCAGTAAAAAAAATTGAAATTATTACAAAAGGTGAATTTA